TTTCTGAATAAAAATCCATATAAAAAATTTAACCGGTTACTGAAAAAAATAATTCAATCGGTTACTTTTTAAAGTATTCAACCTCGTCTGTGCTGTCCCAGGCGTTGCATTGTTGACAGACTTCAACATTCAACCTCGTCTGTGCTGTCCCAGGCGTTGCAATTGTTTACAGACTTCAACATTCAACCTCGTCTGTGCTGTCCAAGGCGTTTGCATTGTTTACAGACTTCAACATTCAACCTCGTCTGTGGGTTGCATTGTTTACATACTTCAACATCCAACCTCGTCTGTGCTGTCCCAGGGGTTGCATTGTTTACAGACTTCAACATCCAACCTCGTCTGTGCTGTCCCAGGGGTTTCATTGTTTACAGACTTCAACATTCAACCTCGTCTGTGCTGTCCCAGGCGTTGCATTGTTTACAGACTTCAACATTCAACCTCGTCTGTGCTGTCCCAGGCGTTGCATTGTTTACAGACTTCAACATTCAACCTCGTCTGTGCTGTCCCAGGGGTTGCATTGTTTACAGACTTCAACATTCAACCTCGTCTGTGCTGTCCCAGGGGTTGCATTGTTTACAGACTTCAACATTCAACCCCGTCTGTACTGTCCCAGGGTTGCATTGTTTACAGACTTCAAACATTCAACCTCTCTGTGCTTTATTTATTTATTTATTTGTTTATTATTAGTATTTATTATTGTTATGTTTTTTGCTTTTACTGCTTCAATTTTTACTTATAATTGTAGATATCGATTAAAGTATCAGTAAGTAAATTGATACGGACGTCTAGCTTCATTATTTATTAAAGCATTATATATATATTTATTACCCTTCCAGATTTTTTCCGCCTTTTTGATTGGATATTGATCACCCGAAAGAAATTGATATAACCGAGCCAGACGGGTAATATACACACTAAATTTCCCCGTTTGGTACCCAACGTTGTAAACAACATGCGCGGAGATGATGCGCGTACGGTTCGATTTTACGCGGTGTAAATTCCGATTTAAAAGCACTTTTTAACTGTCAAATGATAAATATTTACCAAAGTAGAGTTATGATACATATAACCATCAGTATCGAAAACAAATATGACCTTGTGAAAGCTTGATATTAATTACAAAAAAAGTGCGTTCAATAGACTACTCCTTTTCTCTTGTTTACTTTTGTAAGGTACGGGAAAAATACGTCATGTATTTATGTGACGTCATGTTGTGACGAAGAGGTATCCTAAAGGGAATCTTATTTCGACGTTTCATTTGAAACAGCAATGATTATTTAAAAAATCGTCTAAACTCGGCAGGGGAAGGGTAATAAAATTATTATTTTGGTTTTGGAGTGATATATGTGGATATATTACCTGCCAAGATAAAATATCACCCTCGCCTAACGGCTCGGGTGATATAAAATCTTAACAGGTAATATATCCACATATATCACTCTAAAACCAAAATAACATATAATATATATATATATATATATATATATATATATATATATATTATATATATATATATATATATATATATATATATATATATATATATATACATATATATATATATATACACAGGATGTGCATGCTATACACATTCCATTCACATTGCATGATAGTTAAACCATTTCATCTTTTTCTTAAACAAAAAATTGAAATGAAAAGAATGTGCAAATACTGTATGTTATTCTGTTATTCTGGCGTTATCAGTTTATCGTGCAGCATTAAGTCTAGTTAAACCCTGGTATTTCATGACCATTTCATGATGTGGTAAAAAAATCATTTGATTATCGCTAGGAGTATTTTATCATTATTATTAGTTTTTTGCTTATTTTCTTTTCACTTTCATTGCCGTTATGATATTTGCTGTGTGTCAACTGCCTACATAAAGTAGGATGTTATTACAGACATTTATCTCTAGTGAATCCAAATTCAGTCTGATCTTTCATTTCTGTATGGTATGAAATGAGGGTAATATTTAATATTGGGAAGTAACTTTTGTATCAATCAAGTAATTTTAACCCACCCATTTCATTATATAAAGTGATCAGAAATATCGCAAATGGGTGGTTGTATTATAAATAATCTGCATTTAGAGATTGATAATAGAAATACGTCCAGGGATGGGCATTCTAATAATAGACCGTGAACACGAGAGCACGCGCGTATAGACTGATATTATTTCATAGACTGTGCTTTATTTCTTAACGTTAAAGCAAACAAACTTGGCGATATAAAGAAGGAGAAAATTGATGATTTACAGGCGTTTAATCTATGCATGTCGACACAGATTACGTCATAAAGTCATAAAATAAAACACTATTGTGAAATACCACATAAAAGTCTTAAAATTAAAAGTATTAAATAATAAAAACTGTTACTTCCTTATAAATGGGACACTGCTTTAAATGGATTAAACTTGAAAACATTAGTTAATTGGATTACATCAGGTAAGCGTTTTCGTTTAAATTTGTTGTAGTTTTTTCGTATTATGAGCGTATCTACATTTTAAGTTAATTTCTTACACCTGAAACATGTAATACCTGTACATATACTTTTAATTAATGATCTTTACACATATCTTAAGATGCCTTGAAAACAAAATAAGACATTGTAGTTTTTATTTTTTTATTTTCTGCTAAATTACATAGACAGCTGGGACAACACAATCATCACAATTCTTACAATTGATTTTCTAGGATTAATTAATCTTAATGTATAACCTGTGGTTTCGATTGTATATTCTAGAAAAAAAGAAAAACCTCAAACCACGATTTTTGGATGTTCTATATTTGCGGGCACTAACTAAAATTTTTGATACATACGATATTTGATACTATTTAAGTACACTAAATAAAAAAAACTTTTGAGAAATAAAAATAAGGCATTATGGATAAAAGGTAACGGAACTTTATGATTTTAGTATGAATTTGTTTGCCATGTAAAACAGACATTTATCATTATTCATTTGTCAATTTGCTTTTATCACTGATGACAAAGTACAATGTTCTATTGTATAAAAATGGAAAGCCTCACCCTTAGACTTAGCAATTAAAATTTTCACGGAAAGAAAAAATTGAGATCGCTTCCAAAGGTCTTGGGTATAATATTGAAACTTTGGGTTATTTTGTTCGTGCCTCAGTCTGTCGATTGATAAAGTTAAAACCTATTGCTCACCCTACCTAATTCAGCAAAAATATTACCGAATATAGTTAATGTATGTAAGGAGGGACAAGTGAAGAAAACTCCACTGAGGTTCAAGAGCCTGAAAAAACATAAAATTTGATTTTTTTCGTAGATAAGTTGGAATATTGAAAACAAGAGAAAATACAAAAGATACAGACATATACTCAGATAGTATTTGTATTTTTGTGCTATTCTTAGTCCTATTTAAGTGAAAAACGTTGCAACGCTTTTCAATTTTTGGTCATTGTTTCATAATTAAAATAATTATTCTGGTAAAAATTAGTGGACGAATTATCTGAAATTTGCACATAAGTTATTGGTATAGACGGTGACCTGCATCAAATGGAATGTTAATCCCGCAAAATTATTTCCAGTACTGTCATGTCAAAAAACCTCAGTGGAGTCCTTAAAGATACACCATCATATACATAATTTTATGTACCCCTTTTTTGAGGTAAAATATTTGTTCCAGAGTTTTACAAATGCACACTACGGAGGTTTATAGAATGGGTTAGATTTAAATATCTGTTTTGTGTCTGTTCTTTTATCAACGTTTTTCTTTACGGGGAGCGGTGACCTAGTGGTTAAGGTGTCTGCCTCTCAACCCAGGGATCATGGGTTCGAGCCCTAATCGTGTCACGACCATGTTTCTTCATATGACACCAGTACTGGTTGGTTCCAGGAAGCGGACTCGAAAGTGATTAATATAAGTTGCAAGAACTTGTTTCGCAATCGAGCTTAAATAAATATGTTTAAACCAACAGTTCACCAGGTTTAACTGTATTCTATCTTTAAAAAAATATCGATGACGTTAGAAGGACGCCGAACTATTAGTTAAATAGCTGGAAACTCATTAATTATTTTAAGTTGCTGGGCAAGTCCTTTTGTGTTGAAAGGACACATCGAGATTGTTTATTGCCTCTCTCAATGTTCAACAAATCATGTGCGTAAACCATCTTATGTTTCAATGTTATTATAATTTGCGTATCGGCACGAATCATCTTTTATGATTGTTCTTGTTAAGTCACCGGAATTAGGTCCTTCTGAATAACGCTAAATGTAAACAAAAACACAATAATTGTAATACAACTGGTAATTAAAGGCACAACAGGCCTCAGATATGAATCAAGTTTTCCTTCTGTAGAAAGGGCAAACATGTTATTTAAAGCGTTGAAACCGTAGATTTACATCATAAGAATACTAGTATAGCGTTGAGTTTTGAAATAATTTGTGATAAAGGTAGCGAATTGTTAACAAAGTTGTATTTTGACTTCCATACAAAAGCCTAAATCACTGTCTATAAATGCTCTAATTGCCAAAACGCTTGGCATGCCCGGGGTCGGTACTCTCAGTGCCTGAAAAGGCGGATGAACCTTTATGAAACTTAGAACGAAATAAGCAAAAAATGGCTCACGTGTATGGCCATTGAGTTATTTTTTTGGGACTATAACAGGGGATCGAAAATAAAAATAAAAGTCTTTTGGAATAGAAAGGTGGTGTGAATTAATTTGCCTTAATTAGTAATTTTCACGATAGGACAAAATATAAGACAGTTAGTGTAGCGAATATATACATGTAGCCTAATTTCAATTAACAGTATGGTATCAAATTTATGATCTGGGATTTACGTCACCATCAAAAATACGTCTTCATGCCTAGGAATATTTATGATTTGACAATGGTACAATGGTACAGGAATGGTCGCGGACAAGATCGATGGTCTTCTATTCACCATGACTAAATCACGTGTATTAATGTAGGAATATTCCTAAATATCCAGGGAAACATAGTGTGTTATTTACAATTCTCCAGCGCTTTCTGTCTAATTTGATTGAGTAAATAAAGTAGGACGAGATATGTTCGTATCTGTCTCATAATCACCCACTACTCCTTATTATTGATCTGTAAACATTTCTTAATTGATTTTTGTTGATTTCTTTTAACTTTGCTGTTATATTAGAAAAAAATGGAATGAACGCAAGAAATATTCATTCATTCGGACTCATTGTGACATTAAACGTATAATCAAGGTTTATTTAACAAAAGTGAAATAAACGGGAGCTTAGTATTCTATCGGTTTCATTGTGTCATATAATACTTCATTAAACGTATAACTAAGATTTATATCTCTGAAAGTTCTGGAAATATAAGTTTATCTAAATCAATTTAGATTGAATAAAATTTCGGACGACCAGACCAACATGCTGTCGTTATTGCAATGGTATTTATGTCTTAATTATATTGGATTATTTATGTCCTTATATTACAATATTTATGTCTTTATATTGGATTATTTATGTCCTTTTATTACAATTTTTATGTCTTTATATTGGATTATTTATGTCCTTATATTACAATTTTTATGTCTTTATATTGGATTATTTATGTCCTTATATTACAATATTTATGTCTTAATTATATTGGATTATTTATGTCCTTATATTACAATATTTATGTCTTAATTATATTGGGTTATTTTATGTCCCTATATCACAATATTTATGTCTTAATTATATTGGAGTATTTATGTCTTTATATTACAGTATTTATGTCTTTATATTGGAGTATTTATGTAGTTTTTATGTCTTTATATAAGAGAAGGCTTAAAAAAGACTCAAACAAACCGAGTCTGCAATTTTCGTGAAATTTTATTGTCTTTATTGCTTATTGTGTAGATGAGAAATCACTGTATCATTTACTGCAAGCCTTATAATTCATTGTGTATGGGTTATTATGATTATAAGCACATTTTACTTCCGATCACTGTATCATATATTGCGAGCTTACATGATTCAGTTTGTATCACAGGAAGTAGATTTGCTTTATCACAGTGAATACTGTACGTTTGTAACGACCATTTTCATTGGACAATTTTGGCAATGATTTTATTTTATTATTTTAACTAGCATATACTAAAACGGCTGCTGTTGTAAATTTATGGATTTATTTATATTTTTATAAAAAGAAAACATTTGCACAATATCATTAATTCGTTATAAAGACTTATAGCATGTTTTTGGCCGTGTAAACATTGTTGATTGCCCTTTAATTGTTTTATGGTAGGCCTTATGATTGTAGATGCTTGCTATGTATATTCTTACACTTCATAATTATTATTCGGATGGCGTCAGATGTGAAAACAATAAACCAAATGACGTCATGAAAATTACTTCTCCGCTCAATGTAGTTCAACATTAAAAAAATCAATTCTCTTCGGCATGTTAGAATGAAATGTGAAATATTTCCTTGCCTTTTAGCACAAAAATGCACGATTAATCGTTCAAATGCTTAGTGTCAGACCCATTGGCCTTCGTGATTATATTTCTGCGCATGTGAACCCGAACCTTGAATTATTCTATAACAACGCACTCAAAATTGATATTTATTTCCTTATTATACCCTTTCAATTGATGCACGAAATGCAATCGGAAGCGCAGTTAATGAAAATCTGCACGGATTGAATTATTACAATTATTATTTTACAAAGTCAATATGAGAAAGCTGTAATGAAATTGATTTTGCTGATAATACCGACATGGAATGTAATATACTGAATGTATGATCTGGATTTGTCCAGCCTTGTATTCGGTACAGACCTTGCAAAGAAGCAAAGTTTAGGGATTTTAATATTATCATAAACAAATAACAATAATAATAATAATAATAATAATAATAATAATAATAATAATAATAATAATAATAGTATAACATGAAGTCGGAATTCAACTTGTCACAGGGAAACTTCTAGTTTTTTCTTATTGATTCTTATGATTTAATTGTAGACTTACGCCTTTTTCATTATATATTTTTACTACTATTTCATATAATTTGGGCAAAGTAACATGATCTTCACATGTTATCTCCTATGAAATGTATTTCTACTTAAAAGTGTACACATTCAAGTGGATCAAGTGTTGTATTTATTACAAAAACATTTTTGTGTGGTTTTATTACAGTCATTAATTTCACGTCATCACGTATTTCTTAATAAAAAGACATTCGTATGAAATGCCTTTTAAATCAACTTTTGATGAAAAAAATACGGAAAGAACACGTTAATGACAGTTTTAAACAATCACCGTCTGCATGCGATCTTTTTATGATATATTCCAAGATCAATGTTTTTATGATATTGCTTCGGAAATAATGGATTGTTTTTTGTATATGATAACAGATTGTTTTTTATTGTCGCTTTTATGGTTTTGATAGTATCTGGGTTGAATGTTGTTTTTCATTATCATAATGGCGTCAAACACTTTGTAACTGATCAATATGTTTGTAAACAATCCATATTCAATATATAAATTATTTATTCTGTATATTGACACTGTTTTTTTTCTATGTTATGTACATTATTTTTATTGTCATTTTATCACACTGAACCACAAAACGCAGAAATACAATATGCAATAGGTATTTGATGCATTGCTTTCGTTATATCACTTTAATTCATTGTAAAACAACAATGTATGTTTGCAAAAATAACTACTCGTGAAAATTTTCAATATTGAAATTTTATTTTTCTTTTCTTTGTCCCTTTGGGGTTTAAAAGTCGTTTTAATATTCCTGGGGTAGGGAGATTTTACCAGAAGGCTTGTGGAATTGGATTGGTGGTCCTGCCTTCAAAACGGAAAAAATTCCAAAAAAAAATTTGATTTTTGTTTTTTTCCTTTTGGTAAAGGCCAATACTTTTGGGAAAAAAGAAGTATTTAATGGTTCAGAATGCTTTTATGATAAACGCAAACAGATAATAAAAGACTGTTGCTAAAACCGTTATGTTTCTTTACTGTTAATTACGTAGCTATGACGATATCAAAGTAGTCTGTATTTGAATACTGATTGTATAAATATTCTATTTCCAGGGATCTTGATGAGAATACAAATACGATGAAAACTAATTGATGGCAAAGAATGATTAATTGTTGACACAACATGGCAGCAGACGAACCAAATTTACTGGATACGATTTCGGACATGACTACAGCTTCTGTTCCAATGAACAATACATACGTCACTGTCAACCTTACAGAAGACATTTTCAACATTACTAGTAATGAAACGCTTGCAGAGTTAAACTTCCGGTATGCAGAAGCATTACTTCCGTTTGCAGTTATTCTCGGATTGTTTTGTTTCATTGGTATTGTTGGTAACTTAGTGGTGATTTTAGTTTTCTCGTTCAGTAAGGAATATAGGAAAACTAATTTCAAAGTGTTTGTTTTAAGTATAGCGGCAGTCGATCTTATGTCATGTTTTACCTTGATGCCTGTGGAGATATTCAAAACTCGACATTTTTTCTCAATCTCGGACCACACGCCATGCAAAGTGAAGTGTTTCTTTAACATTTTCGGCATGAACATTTCAGCATTCATTCTTTTTGTCATATGTATAGACCGGTATAGAAAAGTCTGCCAGCCTTTGAAGAAACAAATATGGCCGCATCTTGCGGTAAAACTTTTGTTAGGAGTGTTTATAGTTTCATTTATTCTTTCCGTTCCTGCACCAATCATGTGTGGCGTTACAGAGCACATGAAAACTAACATTTATAACTCAAGTGTTACAGTGTTTGTATGCTCAGCAGAGAAAAAATACCACGATAGTACATTCAGATATATCTATAAAATTGGCTTAACAGTATTATTAGTAATTATATCTATATCATTAATTGTGATGTATATTATGATAATGAAGACGGTTGTGAGACACTGGGGTAAGAGAGAATCTGGGAAGAGTGTCCGATTTGAATCCAGCCGTTCCCGCCCCCCATCAGACGACAAATTACAGCCAACAGAACATGAAGAATTTGTTGTGAATATCAAAGCTGTAGAAGTGGAAGCTCATATAAATGCACTTCTCACGGTTTATTTTAATGATACTAACAAAAATGAGGAAGCAAAACGCTTGAAGAGTTCAAGTCGTTTATCCTTGAACTCGTATTTGACTAAAGGTCGGTTTACTATTAAAAGGAGCAGCAGTGACGTATCATTCCGCACGCGCGCTGCAAGGCGCCAACCGTCGTCTGCAGTGAAAGGACGACTTCCGTACAAGACTTTAATCTGGTTCATTTTGACGCTTGTGTTTTTAATCACATACATTATAAATGCTGGATTATCTTTTATGACCACCAAAGAATACGAATTGTCACCGCGTTGCCTATTTTGGTTTCAAGTATTTTTCCGAATTTACTTTATCAACAATATTATAAATCCAATCATTTATGCTTGGCTAGACAAACGATTTAAAAATTCATGTAAGAATATTATTTCTGCCTTGAAAGGAAAACTTACAAAATGGTAACTGTTGTAAAGTTATTCGTCATATATGGCTTTGACACTGAACTATGAAATAATGGCACACTAATTATGCTTGTAAATGTCTATTTTTACGTATGTATATGTAGTAATCATAATTATTTAAATGAAATGATGTATCATATTATTAAAGGACATTGTTATTGTCTTTTACTACATTTGTTATTATATCTTTTCGTCCGTTGTATTTTAGGTTAAAGGTTAAAAAACACGTTTATTTCGCCGAACCTTTTCTCGATATATAATGTATCTTTTCGTCTTTTATAAAACATTTGTTATTTTGACAAAAAAAAGAAAAAGAAAAAACCCCTCAAGTATTTTGAGAAAAGTGACAAATTATGACAAAAATTGATTTAGTCTCTGTGAAAAAATGAATTGATTTGAGTTAAAATATCTGATCATATCTAAAAAAATCAGTCGTCTTGCACCCCATGATCGCACTAAATGGAGGCCATTTAATGTTTCCATATATGTTTTGATCTATTGAAAATAAAGTCAAATGGTTGCCACTACTGGAGAGTTTTCCTCACTTTTCTATCGGAGAACAGTTTCTAACAAATGACATTGACATTTTCAATGGTTACCGTAAATGAGCGGAAATTGTCCACAGTGATGAATATTAAATTTGTATAAATGATGACACTTATAGACCAGCTGTGAAATCACCATACAATTCAGAAAATCCCGAGCAACATAAACAACAACATGTAAACATCGGCATTATTAAAAGCAGGAAGACAGTATACGAAAGATCGGTGGTGGCATTTAAACTTCTTGAATTATTGGTTCATCTTCACGAATTCACGATTTCAACCTCATGAATACACGATTTCAACTTCACGAATTCATCATTTCAACTTCACGAATTTACGATTTTAACCTCTTGAATACACGATTTCAACATGATGAATTCATCATTTCAACTTCATGAATTCACGATTTCATTTTCACGAAATTACAGCCTTGAACTCGTGAAGTTGAAATCGTGAATTCATGAAGTTGAAATCGTGAATTCTTTAATTCATGAAGCTGAAATCGTGAATTCGTGAAAGTGAAATGTCCCTATCGGTCTTTCGTAGACAGTATGATGGATTGCGAGTACACGGCTTTGACCACCTACCGTCCTGATCCTCATCAGCATTCCTAATTTGAAAATCTACAATAACAACACTCAGTTGAATGCAAAGTGATAATCAACTTTGTAGTATGCTCGCTTGTATATTTCAGTGGTAACAACACTTAACTGATTTTCATCATAAAGTGGGGTGTAATAACATACTTTAATTAATATGATAGGAAGTCAGATAATCACAGTGGCATATCATACCTCGGTTGAGTGAGAAGTGAAATTAGAATGGCAGCATATCAATTAAGTGTAAGCCAAGAAACTGCAATGATAATACTAGATGAGTTAGAAGCTAGAAAAGTTCAATGACAAATATCTAATTTGAAAAAAAGCCATAACAATTGCAATGTCAGCATAAAGCGTTTATTAATTCGGAAGACATTTATCAATATACTACATTGTCTGTCAAATAGGTAGCAAGACATTGCAGTGGACAAGAAGCATCCAGTGACAATGATTTTTAGTTTATTGTCAGGCTGGGTATTTGTATTGGCGTTAAACTGTCATTTATTTGCTAGGAAATGATTAACTTTTACTAACACGGGAGAGGAACTGTTACACGAGGGATTTAGTTCTTATGATAACTTGTCAGGAGTTCTTGTAATAACTGTCATGGAGTTCGTATATACTACAAAACCACTCATCAAAATGATTATTTTCATATTTAAAAAAGTGACAATTATCACAAAAACTCATGAATGAATGAATGAATGCATGTATGAATGTATGAATGTATGAATGAGTGAATGAATGAATGAATGAATGAATGAATGAATGAATGATGAATGAATGAATGAATGATGAATGAATGAATGAATGAATGAATGAATGAATGAATGATGAATGAATTAATAAATAAATGAATGTATCGATCAATCAATCAATCAATCAATCAATCAATCACAAAAAAACGGTGTTTTTATTATAATGGTAGATGTGCGAGTTATACCTTTTTGTTCGTACATATACATAGATACATACATATTTATTGCATATCATTCTATATAGTGGAATATAATTAATATCACAGCGGTAACACCCTTTGCCAATATATTAAACTACAAAAACTTAACATTTGTACCAGTGTAATTTGAAACTTTAAGAAATCTTATGATAAAAATCTTACATCCGCGTCTTTGATGACTTAAGCATATTGAATAACAAAATCCGTCCAATGACCGAATGCGTTCTCCGTTAGGTGGCGGTATTTACCAAAACAAAACTATTACTGATTGAGGAAGTGAAAATGACATGAACACGAAAATAAGGGTACTTAAAATTAATACTAAAGTGCGGAGTTGTTAAACTTATCAAATATGTTCATCTCAAACATTTTAATACGCGTGGCTAATCCGTGTCTTATATTTTCTTTTAAAGCAGCATGACTCTAGATTCATGCTTATTTTTTAAGAAACTTTTGAAAATGTATTTAAAAGTAAAATATTGTTAAGAAAAAAAAAATAAAGTAAAAAATACGTTGCAAAAGACACTTACAATCCGCGTATATTACCAAAAAAGAGATGAAAAATAGCCCTTAGTATGCTAGTCACGCATTGAAAGTATAATATTTAGGTCCGCAAAGTTAGTCACTAATCGCACATACATGTCAATTATTACTTGAATTTGAATCTTTTTATTTTTCCTTAAACAATAGTACATTTTTCTCTAAGTTATTTTCTTGAAAGTTTGGCTTATCTTGAGGCATGCAACTTTAAGCAAGACGCTTACTAAGCTCTGATATGACATTATTAAAAAATGAAAAAAATCAAATGTTGTCACACAGTGTATTATTATAATATATTCAAGGTTGTTAAACTTTGTACAAAAAACAGTATGACCCGGATATGAGATCGTTCGTGGAATGAATTGAAAAGCTTTTCGGTGATATCCGGTTTGTGTCGGAATAAATATTGACATTTGACTCTTGTTAATTTAAAACTAAGAAAGCTAAATCTACTTAAGATTTGGTGAAAAGCGTGTCTTTGAATATTCTTTTCAAACATCTTAAACGACTAACCTATATTTATAGGCTAAATAACGGTCCATCCACCCTTTCAGGCACTAAGAGTACGAACCCCTTAGCCTATGATTTCCACATCAAGGACTGGTTTTAAAAAATGCAAGTAAAACAGTTAAATAATGGTTTATTGTAAACGCTATTTGTTTTTGAGAGACATTAGTTACACTAATAATACATTTTGTTTTGTGATTCAGTTTTCAATCATATGATAACATTTGATTTATTTTATTCTGTATTTGTACTAAGTCAAACAATGGACGTCATTGGTCTATTTCTGCCTCGCTATCAAGGCAATATAGAGATTGCAACTGGAGTTGTAGTATGAGACGATATTCTTAAATTTAGAACACATTTTATATCTTAATTTAGGTTTATATTGGTATTATAAAGCAGATTTATGGCATTTAAATCAAATATGCATTTATTACTTATACTTTATTACAATCTATTTTGCAATGTGCTAAAAAGGCAACTTGCTGCAATCTGTCTGGTTGTTCATATTTATTCATTCATATAATTTTCAATGTTAACAAACACTGATTATTCTAAATTGATTCTGACATTACAGAATATGGTGATCAAGCAATAGGAAACGAAATAAATTAATATTATAACCAATTATTTATAATTACCTACATTATTTCTAAATAATGCTAATATCAGGCACTACCATGATGGTAGTTAACCTACCAGTAACCTCCAGCAGGGAGATACATTGTGTCATAATTAACTAGAGATATCAAAATATCTGATACAAATTATGTCATTCATAATCAACTAGAGATTTAAATATCTAATATTATATGATATTCTTCTGGCTGAAACTAAGTTCATGCAAGAATGCTTTGATGCAAAATTATTCTTGAGGTCAGCAAGAATTGTTTTAGTGCTCTTTATTGCACATTTGTATGGAAAGCAATAAATATTTATCTAAAGTACACATTTTCTTATACAATTATATAAATGTTGATAAAAAAGAGAAGATAATGAAACCTTTGAACAAAAGTATGTGCATCAAATTTACGGGAATATCTTTTACGTTAACACGAAATCGATTGAGAACATAAAGCATTTCGTTACTTTTTGAGCTAGTATATCCTTTGCTTCTGTAAAATTATGATACTTTATTAGCAAAGTGTACGACATATCTATACAGTTTTTCAACATATGTTTAAAAGAGCACGTGTCTGACAATATCCTATTTGTGAAATTGCAATCCTTAAGTTTTTCATAATTACTGAACGACTTAAAACACTGTTCCTATTTTTGTATCTTGATGAAACCAAAAGATTTCTTACACCATTTACGAGCAGATGCTAACAATATTAAAGAAAAGACAAAATGTAAAAAACAGGGGTTAATGCGACCTTTTAGGCAATGAGAATAACGACCTAGGACATTTCACTATTCACGTCCTTACATGTTGACCTATAAATATTGAATTTGCAAATCTATTACAATATTTAAACTAAAGTATGAGTAAGACATATATGTTAAAATATTTCAACGACGCAAACACCTTTAAACGTAAGAAATCGTTCGTTTGTTACTAGTTTTGATGCGCAGAAAAATGTCATTATGACCTTCTGCTACAGATTGTTATAGACTTAATATTTAGGAATTGTTTCTAAAACATATAATTGATCTTAATTATATTTTCGATTTTTTTTATATTTTAAATTTTAACATGGCGAAATATGTTGCAACAACATTGTTCTTGCTTCCCACCCAACGTTATTCTTCTTCTGTATTGCTGAGTACAAGTGCATGCATGCGTGTGTGCGTGCGTGCGCACGCGCGCGCGTGTGTGTAGGAACCTTTCGCCTTTTGGTGTTTGTCCAATATTTGTTAACCATAGACTTTATTCTTTTGTACAGGATTTGAATTGTTATATTGACTAAGTAATAAACAATACAATGTACTTGACAATTTGTTAGTTTTTTGGTAAATAAAATTTAGCCAAAAACAATCATTCTTGTTTAAATG